AGCCTCAGAAGTTCGTCTTTAAAATTCAATACACAGTCTTTGCTTAAATCATGGAGGAGCTTAAATCATGCAAAACTCAAAACTTTGACCCAATCCTTGAGTTTCTATGACAAAAGTAACCTGAGGAGGAAAGAGGCAAGATTTTATTTTTTTCTTTTAACTCTGTGATCTGAAAAAAGTGTTCAATCAAGGTAACATTTTCTAGATTCTTCTCATGGATTATTCTGAAATCTACCAAAATTGTCTTGGCTGTTTACATGGTCACAAAAACCCATAAAGACATTTGACTTTAATTTCTTTTAATCTCTTTCTTCTCATGGATTATTCTGAAATCTACCAAAATTGTCTTGGCTGTTTACATGGTCACAAAACCCATAAAGACATTTGACTTTAATTTCTTTTAATCTCTTTGGAATTAAACGAGTCATGTTGAATAGCACAGATGACGGAATCATGATACGGGTTTAGTGGAAACACTGGCCAGTGTCACAGACTTATTCTTAAATGTGTTCCTTCATCTCCGTCGTGTTCTTCCTGAGCATCAAGCTTTGGGCTGCTGGATCCAGGAAAGTCATGGGTCTGAGGTAGCCAGTGGGTGGTGGCCCATGAGTTTGTCCTCCTGGATTTCAGGTACCTTCACTGAATCATCGCAACTGGATACCAAAAGTATAAGCAGATTTTCCTCTGGAGAATGGCTAATTGGATTCCAAACAACACACGCCAACGTAGATTAAAGAATCATTTTCAAGACTATCCTAAGAAAACCTAACATCTCTTGTTCCAGAACATGGACATACAAGAATCCCTAGCTGGGTACTCTCGTACGAGGGAACTGGAAGAAAACTTATGTCTGGTATCCATTATGTGGCTGAGAATTTAAACCACCAGCTCTGAAAAACTACATGTACAAAAGGAGGTATTTCTGTGATCTTTGGGTTTGTGAAACCTGGACCCCTCAGTATTGGAAAGTGAAGCAAAAACCCACTTGGAAAATGTCACATCACCCAAGGACGGCAGGCCACAGCAGGGGAGTCTCATTTGTACCCATTGGCCTTTAAGTTTGGAGGTGACCAACTGCCAACACAGGTCAATGCCACTGAAAGAAGAAATTACTACATGAATCAAGAGGAGGGGCCCGTCACCACACACGGGGCTGTGGGGAAAGCCCTGGTGTGTGTCAGGAGGCAGGAAGGGGCGACGGAGAGCCTGGGTCACAGCCTTTGCTGGAGCTTCCACAGGAGGGGAAGGCAGGCTGCATGGACAGCTCGGGGCTGGCGAGTTTGTAAAACCACAGTGGGCTTCGGGCTGGGGGTCCTCTGCTGGCCTGATACCCAGCCCTGGGGTGACTGAGGGCAGGGGAGTACTGGCTCGGTGTGTGACAATTAGGAAAAGGGGCTGCACAGGAGCAGGGTGCTCCTGAGCGGGTCGCTGGCTACCTTCAGGAGTTTGCTGGCCCTGGGAAGGGCAGTCTCTCCCTCATCTGTAAGGCCCCCAAATGCCAGAGCATCCAGAATTCGAAATAGGA